ACAAACATTTTCTGTATTCAAATGATTGCTTTATTATGAATGATGAAAATATGAAATGTTTCCCTCTTAAAGTAGATGGAGTATATTTTGAGGAGGGGGCAGGACTTTGTCTCTCTTCACACCACTTCTGGTGAAGAGACTATGAGAGACTTCCTGTGGGTGAGGTTGTTTCTTAACTTAAACCTGAATTCCTCCAGAACACTCCAACACTGCAGTTCAACTATTTGGTTAAAGCTGTTACACACATTTTCATATGAAATATTGGTGAGAAGGCCCATGGATTATAAAGTGAGTATGACAAATGCAATTTTATGCCTTAATTTGTTCTAGAAAGAACACATTTTGACTTCATACAGCAGTCTTTATAGCAGCATAAAAAATTACTGACCATTTGTGAAGAAGCATGAGCCGACAGGGTGATCTTATCTACATCAGGAATGATATTTTAAAAGCTTATCTCTTATATTATGTTAATGCCTTAACTCTCTTCATGATTAGAGGATACCTAAACCACGGTGTAATTTCTTTTTGCTGTGTTACAAGCTGTTCAGTTGTGAGCTTTGTGTAAAAGGGAAGGAAGCAAAGACTGTGCACTTTTTAAAAGAAGTTAGAAATCAACTTCTGTGTCCAATATTACATTGCATTTGTTTCTCTGTAGTTGCTGATTCCTTTTCATGCAGCAGTTTCGATCTTTCTATTTACACAAAGTAGAATAATTTCTCATAAACAGAGGAGCTAATTATCAGTGTTGGATGTGAAGATGGGACACACTTTGCTCTGTCTACTGGGGTTTTTCTGTAAGTACTTTTAATGTTTGAATTGCCGTTGATACAACTTAAAAGCCTGAGGTTATGATATATTTGTCAGTTTAATTATGTCTGATGTACGTTTCAAACTTGTTTCAGTGCTGAATTTACTTTACCGTGGACAAGCTCAAGGTGATTATACCATTTTCTTACTTTTTGTCTATTTACTTTAGACCAGGGTTGTCAAACTCAATTTCATCCCTGGCCACATTCACATAAAGGTTGCACTCAAAGGGCCTGCTGTAACTATATAAATATATAATATATATAAAATAATGTATTATATTACATGATTGCCTCTGAATTGGATTATTATTGGATAGGATAATAACTTAGTAATTATCTACGTCTGAAAGCAGAAGTCCAGGGCAAATAATTGCAAGTCTCTTCAGTGAGTATGTCACAAAACGAGATGCATTGTGGGACATGTAGTTTATGGGCAACATGCTTCTGTAAAGTGGTATTTAACCGTATAATAAACGTATTATATTCTTTGCAAGCCCTTGCCGGGCCACATAAAATGAAGTCTTGGGCCGGGTTTGGCCCCCGGGCCTTGAGTTTGAGACCCCTGCTTTAGACAAATCTACCTGTAACTCTTCAAACAACATCTGTTTGGTCAATGTATAATGCAGTTTTTGACAAAAAGAAAACAAACTTTAATTGATGTTTCTTGTGATGGTTTCTAGATGCTGTGCTGACCATTGAGCCAAACTGGACCACTGTTTTTACTGGAGAGTCTGTGACCTTCAAGTGTGACTTTACAGGAGACAAAGACAGCGGCTGGTTTTACACAATCCACAACCAGCATGGAGAAGTTTTCTCTCAAAGCAATCAAACGTTCAGAACATTACATTCTCTAGCTAAAATCTACAGTGGTGAATACCAGTGCTTGTTTCAGAACGGGGGATCAACAAAAAACAGCAATAAAATCTATCTAACTGTATCAGGTAAGTGATCAAAGTAATACCACCATGAACAAGTTCAATAAAAACAATTTTTTAAATTATTGAGCCATGTTGATATGAACAACCATTTTTACCATTAAATCACTTTCCAACAGAAAGACCTAAGCCTGTCCTCACTGTGTCTCCATCATGGCCGAGTCCTGGAGCCTCAGTAACTCTGAACTGCAGTGTTGATCATCCTTCTGCTGGCTGGAGCTTCTACTGGTATAAGGCTGTTCCCCAAAAGTCAGACAACTCCTACAGCTATGAGCTGCTACCTGGCAGCGAGAAAGGGACTGAACAGGATCTCTTCATCATTGATGGACAAACACACACAGCAGGATATGTGTGCAGAGCAGGAAGAGGAGATCCAGTGTTTTACAGTTCGTACAGCAAACCTAAGTTTGTCTGGTCTGGAGGTCAGTATGTTCTTCCTTTTTCCTTTCTTTCTGTAGTTTGTACCAACATTAGCCCAACAAATGTCTTTATCAAAGTTTGCCTGGTCTTGAGGTGTTTTTGTTTTGACTTTTCCATTATTACAAAATGGAACAAAGTCACTTATTTTGGGAACTTTTCTTTTACACCAGCATCAGGTCATAGTTCAGTTTTCAAAACGATTCTCTAAAACAGAATGATGATTGACTGAATCAGCTTCTAGATATATTTTTAGGTATAAATCTGATTGTAATATTTTTTGTTTAAGACATAAACAATACACATACGGTACTTAAAACATTTAGAGACTGAGGCACTGGTACTTTCTATTTTGCTTTCCTCCTACTTTAGTCGGACTTTTAAATGGACAACTTTTATCTTTTTTACTTTCAACAACTGCAATATACACAAGGTTTAAACATTCACTTTTTAGGCTTGTTTAATCTCTTTTTGCCTTTTTAGGGTACTTTAAGTGGAGGTGTTGCTGTACCCATGCATTGTCTTTTACTGTTTGCATGGTTTAAATGTCCCCTCTTTGTGTGTTTCAGATATTAACTCAGTGTCTCTCACAGTGAGTCCTGACAGTGTGCAGCACTTCACCAACACGTCTGTGTCACTGAGCTGTGAGGGAAACTCCACTGAGTGGAGAGTGATGAGGTTTTCAAAATCTGACAACCGCTATCCCTGTTCTCTCTGGGGGACAATGACTGGATCCACATGCACAATAACCAGAAGCTGGGTTAGTGGAGTGTTCTGGTGTGAGTCTGAAACTGGACAGTTCAGTAATGCAGTCAACATCACTATTGAGTGTGAGTTTTATTTATTTAAAATATTTATTTCTGAAGTATTATGTTGTTTTGAAATGTGAAGGTGACATGCAAAGTGAGTAAAACTTTATAAAAAAGGCTAATTTGCGAAGTCGATTCCAGGGTTACTTCTCTCAAAGATCGAAGATAATATTCTGTGTTTTATCGTCCTCATACATCTACCTGAAATTTCAGCTTCTGCCAGACTAGACCAGTTGTACCTAAACATATTAAATCTGCAAAAAGCTGATGTCTCTGACAAAGCCTTTATATTCTTTGATTTTTCTTTTTCAGATGATGGATATTATCCTGGTGAGTCCTGTCCGTCCTGTGGCTGAGGGACTTCCTGTCACTCTTAGCTGCAAGTTAAATAATGAAACTGTTCTTTATGATGTGGATTTCTATAAAAATGACAAACTCATCCAGAACGATACCAGAAGGGAGCTGACCATCTCTGCAGTGTCAAAGTCAGACGAAGGCTTTTATAAATGTAAACGGAGAGATTCAGCAGATGGTTGGACGTCACCAGAGAGTTGGTTCTCAGTAAAATGTGAGTATGATAAAAAACAGTTTCCTCTTTTTAAGATGTGTTGCTGAGTCAGAGCTGAAAAAAGACAGTTCATACTGAATTCAAAGTTGTCTTAGTTTCCTCTGAATTATACAATTTAGTTTTTTTAAGAGAAATATATTTTTCCAGTTCTGTATTCAGTCTTAAAACATTCATATGCCCATGATTACATGAACAGCATTGACAATATAAGATATGTAAACAGGGGTTTATAGTGTATTTCGTGAATTTGTTCCAATAAGTGTGTAAATATTTATGATTTATGTGTAAGTGTATTTGTATAGTTTTGTATATTCCATAGTTGTACATGTATGTGTCAATGTGTGAATGTAGGTTTTTAATACATGTTTTGATTGTCATTGTTTATTTATCTTAGAGATTTCTGAGGCTTGGTCCGACCTTGAAGCCCTGTTCCTGTGAAGTGCTTTGAGGAAAGTGTTATATAAATAAATAATATTTAAGGTTATTTATATTAGCAGCTTCTCGTCCTGGAAAAGCTTCTCAATTTCCCGTCCCGTTGACTGTTGGGCTGCTTTGTGGAGTTTTACTGATAATCATCCCGCTGCTGTTCCTGTATCGCTACAGAAAATCAAAAGGTAAGAACCTTTTCATCTGATATCAAATTAATTAAACTACAATTACTCAAAATCACAGATTACATGTACCGGAAACCTTTGCAATTAAAATAATATGTAACTAAGTTGTTCTTGTATTCAACAGATTCAGTCTTCATCAGGTCGGTACAACCCTCTTTTATCTCATTTTGAACATTACAGCAGTTATATGTTAAATTCAATCAACTTCATCATCTTCATGTGTATGTCCCACAAGATCTCAGAGCACCAATCAGGGCCCTGCTACAGACCACATGATCAACCAGGATGAAATTCAAAACATGCCAGAATATTCCACTCTCCTCCATGGTCAGCCCTTCTCCGGTTTAATAATATGATTTATTTTGAATCTTACCTTAATTGTGATTAAAATGATTGATGTAACCGTGGTTTGATTTTCACTTCTCTGTAGGTGATCGTTGTCTCTATGAAACAATCGGAGGGCCGGTAGAAGCTGGAAATGGTACAGTATTTCATTTGTGTTTAACATGGAGAAATACAATACTACATGCAATGGTTGAGATGCTTTCGTAGGCCAGCAGTGTCTAAATAAATTACAGGAATTGTCCTTTGATACATTATTTTAATCCTTCTAACAGGTGCCAGTAATGAACCAGAAGAGAGCCTTTACATAAACGTGGCTGCAGGTAAAGTCAAGTACAAAACACTTTTATATATACACATACATATTAATATACTAAAAGCTTTTATAATGTGCTGTGCTGCTTGCCAGTTTCAGCAATGATCAAATCCACCAAATAAAGCTTTTACACTTTTTGTGCATTTTAATGCCTTTCTTATTTACAGCATGTTGTTTTCCAGACATGTTTTGGTTTAATGAAACATTACTTAAAACATCGTAACTAATAAATGGCAAATTTAAATATTTTCACACACAAATTAGTTGGCATTAACCTACATTGTTGTATTCAAAAACAGTACCATGAGCAGAGAGTACCCAATGATAATAACTCATTTTGGTTTTCTTCCAGATCAATAAAGACATCCTCACGGACAGAACCAATGGAGCAGATAAAAACATGAAAAACAACATCCTTGTTTCAGCAATTGAGTGTATTTGCTGCTTTTGTGTAAATAGTGCAGTGCCTTATTTAAAAAAGGCCGTTCTAGGAACATGCTGAATGCTTTGCAATTCAACTGTATACTTACTTTCTGTGTACTTATATTTAGTGTAAAACATTGTACTACAACATTATTTGTTACATATCTGATTCAGATTATGTAGCTCTAACCTTGTTGTACATTTGGTGATATTAGAGCCAGATACTATGCAGTATGGACACATGCTTTAGCACTGTAGATGCACACAGTGGACACACACATATATTATGAATAAAACCTGAATGCAATTATACCTGCATGTACTGTTCAGTGAATGATTCTTACTAGATGCTACCACAGGGTGCCAACAAATTATTTAATGTCTTTAATTTATCTGCAGAAGTAGTCTCTTGCAAAAGCCAAAACATCTGAAGTCACAGCGCCACCAATAGGTCAAACAAGATGTTCAGATTCAAAGGAACTGAAGCACACACCTTTTGTACAGTGTATTTGTTTTCTTTCAGATTCTTGTGGCACTTTTTTGTTTTGTATTAATAAATATAACTTGGATTATCTTATCTCATCTTTAACAATACAAACATTCTGTATTTTCTGAAGCAGATTTTCCAGAACATTTCGTATTTTTCAAACTTGTTTTTAGTATTAAAATAAAAAAAGGGTAGCCAAAACCCTTAATGCACTTAATATATAATATGTTTACCGATAGTACTTACACTTAATTATCTTGTATGATTTCAAAATGTGAATATATGGTACTTTGTTCCTATATTGTCCATGGATAAACATTCAGTATTTTCTATGTAGAGAGATAGAAGAAGGGAATCTACTGACGCACTACAGCCAACATTAATTTGTCCAATTTATGTAAATATGTTTTACTGAGGATATTCTATTTTACTTGTTCTCCAGTCACTGAGCAGTTCTATTTGAAGCTTTCTTTCGATATAAGACCACAAGGTGGTGTCAAACTACTTTATCTGATACTTTACCTACTCTACACAAATAGTCCTTCTGAAGTCTGGCAGCAGGGTCTGGTGCCATGTAAATGTAACTCCATAACTAATGGCGGGCCGTGCATTTCACACCTAGGCCTTCAGTGATGTCCTACACAGTCCTACCTGAATTAT